TATTATTATTATTATTATTATTATTATTATTATTATTATTATTATTATTATTATTATCCTTTCAATTATTTTGCTTGTGGTGGTGGAGGTAGGGGAGGGACGTAAGGGAAAGGATAGGTGGGTTAATTGGAAAGATAAAATATTTTCTTTTATTATGTTTTAAATTGTTTTAAGGTGACTTTGGAAAAGTCAAAACGAACTTTTGATACCCAAAAATTGCTTTTGAGGCCATTTAGCTAAATTTGTAAAAGGGCTGCCGATGGTTAGAAGAGCTTTTAAGCAAGTTCGTCAAAATGATTTTCTCCAAAAGCACTTCCAAAATCGGAAGTACTTTAAAGAACAATTCTCAAATAAAAATTAAGGTAACTTCTTTTAAAAACTTTTCTACAAAAAGCAAAGACATAAACACAAGCAAAGTCATACTAAGCGGGTCATTAGTGAGACTCTTTAATACTTTTTTTAGAAAGTTGGAACTCTAGATGTAAATTTTTATTTTCCCCTTTTTCTATTTGTTTATTTAAAAATGATGGTAATTTAGTTATTTTACAATACTTTAATGGAGAAAATAAACGATATGAACATATAAGCAAAGAAAGGTCCACGTAAGCTTCAGATGTCAAAATTGAAACGATTGGATCAATATACGCAATGAAGACAAACGATATAGATGCTTTGTGTCAATTACTCATATTTCACGAAAAGATTTAACGGAACATAATGAAAATGACCAACTTCTTAAGAAATGAGGGTCTAAATGTCAAGTTTGAAATGATAGAGATTATTTTTGTAATGAATGCAAATGATAAGGATTTTTTTGCAAATTACGCATATATTTAGAAAATGAGCCCACGAGAGATTGCATGCCTCGGAAAGAGTCATTTAACTCTTATTTCTAATGACATTTTACCCTTCATTTATGTGTTTGGGATTAGGGATGGGCAAGGTTCAGATTGGGTTGATTTTGAGCTAAATCCGAAATCGAAATCAACTTGGTCGGTTTCGGTGTGTTCCAACCTAAATCGACCCAATCCAGTTGTTGAAATCAAATTAAACCAAATCAAATTAATTTGGGCCGATTAGTCGATTTGAACATTGGTTCTAGTAAATGGTAAATTTTTCCAAAATCATCAAATATATCCGATATTATTAACAAATAATTATATCAAAATGAAAAACAATGCTACAATATGAATTTGGAGTTTACAACAAACAATTCTTCTTATTGTTTTTCTTTTCTTTTGGAATTTGAAATTTTGGTAGAAAATGTGTAAGAAGGTGAACAAATTATTTGAAACAGAATTATATGTTTTTATTATTTTATTTTTTAAGTTTTAAAATATATTTTAAAATAAAAAATAAATAATGTATTAACTGGTTGAGTCAGTCAATTGATGGGTTGGTTGCTCAAACCGCGGTCAACTCGACTCGACTTTTTAATATTTAAAATTAATTGAACCAAATCAATTTTTGTTTAAACCAACCCAAACAAACCCATATTTTTCGTCAATTTTTTGATTTTTTCGCTCACCCTTACTTTGGATTTACGCTCAAGTTTTACAAAGAGGATATCATTTACATTGATATGTTGGCACACAGACATGGCATTGTTGGAGACTCGGCAGAATTAATCATTTTTTGTAAACAAATTTGTTACACTTACACCATGGTTGATAGCTTTTTTTAAACTCTTTGACATGACAAGTTTTATCATTAATTTTAACACTAATTCAAATCAATGACCTCAACTTTAATACCTCAAAGAGTGTCAAACTAATTGTATACCATGAATGTACAGCTGGCTTAATTCTTTTGTAAATTATATTCCCAAATGGGCCTAACACAACCAAAAAAATGGATTTTTTAAATTTTATCATTATTATTATTTTTTTTTTATTTTTTTTGCATTTGCTACATTAAATAGACGCTAAGTATATTTCTCCTTTTTTGTTGGACATTTTTAGTTTAATTGCAATGATTATAGGATGAATAGACGCTAAGTATATTTCCCCTTTTTTGTTGAACATTTTTAGTTTAATTGCAATGATTATAGGATGAATAGACGCTAAGTATATTTCCCCTTTTTTGTTGAACATTTTTAGTTTAATTGCAATGATTATAGGATGAATAGACGCTAAGTATATTTCCCCTTTTTTGTTGAACATTTTTAGTTTAATTGCAATGATTATAGGATTATTATTTGAAAAGGGAATAATATCTGTCTAAGATAGTTATAAGATAAAGTTTTAAAACTAAGAAATTTGTTTTAAAATTTCAAAAATCAAGTCATAATTCTATTATTAATTAAATAAATAATTAAAAATATTCTATTAATTAAATATGTTAAGATCACAATATTATATAGTTTATAGTCACATTTATGTACTAATCACAATCATAAAACGTCACAGTCACAAATCACAAATTTTATAAGTCATAACTTATTTAGTATCACAAATTCTGAAATTAATTAATCTCGCATTATTTCTCGATCTCAAATTACAACTTTATAATACAATTTATTTATCATTCACAAATTATTAAATTAATAGGTCATGTATTATTTTTATATCATAAATTACAAATTTTAAATATCACAACTTATTTAATGATCACAAATTATCAAATTAATTGGCCACAAGTTATTTCTCAATCATAAATTATTAAATTAATTTATCACAATTTAATAAATTGTGAGCCATAATTACAAATTTAATTGCAATCTCACTTTTTTAAGGTCACGCTTTACTCGATTTAGGTTTAAAAATTTATGTATAAAAAGTTTATTTTTTTTATGAACTATGCATGTATAACTAAGAAAATAACTGTTTAAGATGAAAATCCATGAATTATTATTATTATTTTTAAAAAGAACAGTTGGTCTCAAAATTGGAAAATCTTATCACAAGTTTTTGCATAATCTTTGCATCATTATACATGTGCATATTTTTTCCATCATTCCTCTCTGTGTTTTACATTATTATTATTTATACGTCCTTTGTTATTCATGACAAAAACGGGGAGGGATATGTATTTATTTAAGAGAGTTAATTATATGAGTTAGGGGAAGAATTTAAAATTTTGATGATAGAAGACTTGGAGGGAGTCATTTGATATATTTGCTGGAATTTCATTCTTGATATAGTGTTGTGTTTTGTCTA